AGTAAACTCTTTTAAGCGCATCTTCGCTCATTATACTTCGTAGTTTTTTTAAATAATAATTTTTTAGGGCCTATGCTCTGGCAGTAGCCAGCACACTTTTTTCGCAGTATAATTTATGATTCAAGTTTGCAGGGGAGGGGCATCATTAAAATGCAATTATTAAAAAATGAAGAATTTTTACTTCTAACAATTGCTTCGTGATCACCTTATTATGTCCTACACATCTTGTGGTACAAGCGCATATTAAGTTTGTGCGACATCTCGAAGGATTTGGGAAAGGCTCTTCATTATAAAAATCGATCCAGAGTCACTTTCTCAATCGAATTGAAACGTGTCTGTCCGACTGTCCGTCTTGGTTTCTTTTGATCAAACTACAGAACGTAGCTTATTTTACTTTTATTATGAAATTTAACTAACGTAACCTTATAAGCCGAAGTAGATTGGCACATAAAAACAAGTAAGAATAGTACAGTCGGGCAAGACCGAAAATTAAATATCCTACATCATCATATTCTCTAACACAATTCTTATTTTTGTATCAATTTCCATCACCACATATTAAAACTTAGACTTTTCTGCTCTGCAAAGGATCAATTTTCGCGAAAATCCTTAATAGGGTACAATCCAAAGCAAACGGTCAACACACATCACTGAACCAAACCTCATAAAATTATCTCAAAAATTGCGACCTGTAACTTGAACACAAATTTACATAAACAGACATCCGACGGACAGACGAGCTTAGATGAATTGAGATAATGATTCTGAACAAAAGATGGGTCTATTTTAAGCTCTATTGCGTGTTACATACGTTCGAACTAAATTAATATATCCTGTACCACAAATGGTGTAGGGTATAATAAGTCGTATAATGTTTATTACGACTATACTCTTACCAAAAACATTTTTTTAAAAAAACAAATCACTGAGCTCGTTTAGAAGTAGATAATGACTATTATTTTTTTTTTTTTTTTTGTTTTTGCCACAAACTGCAAGAGATGCGAGGAAAAAGCGTAGGCTTCAAAAAGCCGTTCTATACTTTCTCTGAAAGATTACTTGTTGTCACTTTACTGGGAATGCCTCAAAACGTCATATATTGTGTGTGCACTAGACTTGAATTCGACTTTCCTCTAACTTATTCGTTGAACCCAATCAGTCCTCTTTTAAAAAACCAATCGAAAAGCCTTTGCAATACTACTTTATCCTTACACCGAGTTAATCGTTTTTAACAAAGACTGTTTTGATTTTTAAAGTGGAAATCAATCTGCATTTGCCAATGTTTATACATGAAAGCTTAACTGATGCAAATAAGAAAAAAAATCTCTTAAAAATCTCTTATATGTAATTCATTAAAAGAGAAAATCTGTGTAAAGAGTTTAGGCAATGCATTTATGTTATGATCTCTCTGCTATAAAACAAAAGAAGAAAACCAACCAAATTTCTCTGAATAATTTTTTTCTCCACAAATTGTATTTGCTTTATGAGAGATTCGCTTGCTTTATAAATGCTCTACTTGCATATGAATATACATGCATCTATGTACGTGTGTGTATTAGAGTCAATTGCCTTTAATCACAACGACTAAGTTTCCATTCAATGAAAGTGTAATGAACACGATTTTTATAAAAATTAACGAATTTTTATTTCTCTTCTATTGTTGTTGCGCTTGCTGCTGCTGGTGAAGAAAAAGTATTAAATAAAATGTTTTTTATATTAATATGTGAATGAGGACAATTTCCCCCTTTTACGTATATTTATATATATATATATATATATATCGTTTTCTCTAACCAAACAGAAAAAAAAAAAAAAAAAAAAAAGGAAATTTAATTTTATTTTTCGGTAATGGCTTTTATTTCCTCCTCCGGTTACTGCTCATTTAGATGAGTGAAAATCCTTTGCATTTTTAACTGTGTAACCGTGTGAGTGCATGCGTGTGTATATAAGTTGTTTAACTTTCGTTAAATTTTGAACATTTTCACTTTCGTCGCAACATGCACATGCAAACACTCACATATAAGCTCGCGCGCGCGCGCTCACGCTCGCACGCACACAGCAATACATCCAAGCTTAAGCGTAAATGAAGTTTGTTGCATTATTTTAGTTGCTATAGTTGTTGCTTTCAATAAAAGTGTTTTTCCCCATAATTTTAAAGAAAGTTGACAACATTATTACCTGTGTATGTGTGTTTGTGTCGTTGTCATCGTCATTATTGGTATTGTTGATACTGCTTTTCTTCTTATCATTCATTTCGAAACTTTCAATTTCATTGCAATTATGTAACTCGTAAAATATGCCGCGCGCCCTGGTTATATGGTCATGAGGGAAATTATTTTCGTATGCGCAAGTATTTGTGCCTGCGTATGTGTATAAAGTTAATGTGAATGCATTGCTTTCGTATTTTATCTGTTTTCCATATGATTTTCACTTTTACTGTTTTCAACTCCAGTAAATATGTAGAGATTTCTTTTACATAATTAAATAAATCTCTAATTTCGCACGCATGCATACACATGCTTACATATATAACTATTGTCACAACAAAATTTCAATTGTCCATTGAAAAGGAAAGTCTCTCTGTTTTTTTTTTTTTAATATTAAAAAAAAAGTATTTATTTATTTTTTTTTTACATTTTAATTAATCGTGAATTGTAAAAGATTTTATAACATTTTTACTAACCTTGAGTTTCCATAATATATTCTCAGACTTTTCTTTATAGTAAATAATGTAAATGCAATCGCCCAAAACAGGCTAAGCTTTCCAATCTTTTGATGTTTCTTATAAGGTGAAAATCGCACATCTATATAAAGTCGCAAAAAAAAAAAAGAAGGCTTAACTACAATTCGTCTATCTCTCTTTCAAGAATTGAACGATCTTTACACTCTACACTACTTGTGGTGGAGGATATATTAAGTTAGCGCAGAAGGACTTAAGATAGACTCACCTTTTATTATACCGATCGATTCAGATTCATTTCCTAAATCGATCTAAACATGTCTGTACGTCTGATGTGTGATGCCCATATATTTTTGTATTCAAGCTGAAGGCCGCAAGGTTACTTTATACCACAAGTGGTAAAGGGCTTATAATGATTTATAATTTGCCTTGGTTCTATTCTAGCAATTATCTACATTTCCTTATAGATCAAGCACACTCAGTTTCCGTCAGAGCGGAAAGGCTTTAACAATAGTTATATATCATACTACTCAGTGAGGGGAAGGATGAGGGGTACATTCATTTTGTCAAAACGTTTGCAACGCACAGAAGGAAGCATCAGACATCCCAAAATGCACATATATTCTTGATCAACATCAAGTTCTAAGTCGATTTAAGCATGTCTGTCCGTCCGTCTGTGACCGCCTGTTGTAAAGATTCTCCTGACCGCAAAAATCAAGCTATAGACTTTAAAGTTCTTGCACAGAGGTTGGTATCGCTCGAAGAACACGCCCATAGCATCACGTAAACTGAGAGCACCTCTGTTTTTCAAACAGAATAAAAAGCTGGCCTATTGCCAATTACTCACACACTCATAGCAGATAAATGTAAACAAATTTGAACGCGTATTCTATGGGCGAAGCTGTACAAAAATGGAAAATATTCACTATGCCTACCCAATATTATAGTGCCCAGAATTTAATTTTTTTTTTCAATGCCTTTGTAAGGCATAAAAACAAGCTCCAAAAACCCTATAAACTGTACAAATTCTTGGCCAGTTACAAATTTAGAAAGCACGCAAACATGTCCGTTTGTTCGTCTGTGGATTTGTTGCTTTGCGCAGCTGCGCTACATTTGTGATAAACAATCTCCCGTTAGCGAAAATAAATATATCGCCTAAGAGTTTGGAAGTGATCTAAACTTTGCAAATGACACGCCCACAACGCCCACATGGCTGTGCGACAAAAAATTTTTATTTTGAAAATGCAAAAAATCAGCCGCGCCCACTCCATATTATAGAGGATGAAAATTTAGTTCTTTTACAGTTTTCGTGTTTTTTAGGATAACAGCAATAGGCATAAAAAGTTCGCACATGATCAAATATAATTTTCTTGCTCGTTTAAATTCAGAATTCTCTCACATTATTGTGAGAGTTACTTAAGACAGTTGCAAGTATTTGCTTTTTTTTCGTTTCCAATTACGTGTTTGCAAGACATGTAGGACCCACCATTAAACACTCTACGCCCCTTCGTTTAACGCACGCAGTTATTCATATAATGATCTTTCTAAATTAGGCTTTATGTGCAGATTGATTCAAAAAGTGGACCGATTGAGACCATTTTCAATAGCATGCGTTGTTGAGCCAAAATAAGCCAATATACCAAATTTTTATCAAAATATCTGAAAAATTGCTACCTATGGATCGAACACATCTAGACAGACACAAGGACGGACAAGCTAAAACCGATTCAAAAAGTAATTCATGCCATACAGTTATTAATATAGCGACTTTTCACATCACAAAGCTTGATATGGGGACTGATTGAAGAAGTGGTCCGATCCATATTATTTTCGTTCTTGAGCCCAAAATATGCGGGTATACCAAATTTTTTGAAAATATTACCAAAATTATATCGTGTAGCGTGAATACAAGACGAACAGATGGACAAACAAGCTAAAACCGATCCAAAAAGTAATTATATACCGAAGTGGGACACGGCTCACCATCAGATACCCTTCCAAAAAATTTCATCAAAAGGTTCGAATAGTTACCACTTGTAAATCGGAATAAAAGATAAGACAGAGGGACAGACAAGATCGTAATTCGATCGATAAAATGAAAGGTACCTCGAGTCCGTAAATTTTTTACATATATTTGTATCACAACTGCTAATGGGACAATACAATGATCAAACCATTGATCGAAAGAAGACGCTTGTGCTAATATTAAATCATTTCGCGCATCTCACTTTTGGAAACTTCATTTCCAATTTCTTTTCTTAAAAAATAGAAAATTTTCTCACTGAAGTTTTTCTTTCTTTTTTTGTGTTTCGGTTTCTTACAGATTACCGGTGAACGAATGTCAGGCAAGCCAAACTGGTAGAGTGACTTCGAATTTAAACGCTTCAAGCAGTACAATGGCGGTCAGCCGCGTACCATCGCCGCCTTTGCCGGAAGTTAATACGCCAGTGGCTGAAAATTGGTGTTATACACAGGTAAAGTAAAACTGCGACAGTTAAGGTCATTTTTAACTTTCTTCATCTTCATCTTCTTCTTCTTTTAAATTGCTTTCATATAAAAATTTCATTGTCCCTCTCTTGAATCCGTTATATTTCTAGGTGAAAGTGGTCAAATTTAGTTATATGTGGACCATAAATAATTTTAGTTTTTGTCGCGAGGAAATGGGCGAAGTTTTAAAATCCTCCACATTCTCAGCCGGTGCTAACGATAAATTAAAATGGTAATGAAATCATATATATATATATATGTATATAAATATATTTTTAAAAATATTTCTTAAAATCTATTTATTTTTTTTTTTTTATATTTTTGACCCATTTATTATTCCAGGTGTTTACGCGTCAATCCGAAAGGTTTAGATGAGGAAAGCAAAGATTACTTATCATTATATTTATTATTAGTCTCCTGCAATAAGTCCGAAGTTAGAGCCAAATTTAAATTTAGCATCCTTAACGCGAAAAGAGAAGAAACCAAAGCCATGGAATCACAGAGGTAATAGCTTTTGGCTTAAGATAAACCGACCTTTTATTATACAAATCGCTCCAAAATCGTAATCTGAATTGATCTAAGTCTGTCTGTCAATCTGTCCGCCTGATAATTTTTGAGATGTTTTGATAAAATTTGGTACAGTGACGAATTTTGACTACCATCGGTCCAACTCTTTCGATCGCTTCCCATAACAACGCCCTACTCTGAAAAGTCATTATGTGGAAAAAATTGCAATTTTCAAAATTTCTCGGCAAAAGTGGCTAAGTAGTAGCATTTCGGCATGGGTATGAAAACTTTGGACCGACTGGAGCAATTTTTGAACTCCCTTTCTTATAACAAATATTGAAGTTCCTACCACCGAAAAGGTATAATTTCCAATGCTCCATGATAAAAATTATGTTATAACAATATTTTAACATATACCAAATGCTATACCAAATGTGAACCATTTCGGTCTATTTTTATTGAATGCCCTAATAAGGATTTTCACGAAAATTGATCATTTGTAGAGCAGTAAATTCTAAGTTTTTATAAGTGATGCGATGGTGAATATTAACTCATAATAGTAACTTCCTACACAACGTATGTAGGGTGTTTAAAGGTCGGCCTTGCCCGATTGTAATGTTCTTACTTGTTTTTTTCTAATCTTTATATTTGATTATTACGTCATTTTGCAGAGCTTATCGTTTTGTTCAAGGCAAAGATTGGGGCTTTAAAAAATTTATACGTAGAGATTTTTTATTAGATGAAGCTAATGGTTTGCTCCCCGAAGATAAACTAACCATTTTTTGCGAAGTTAGTGTGGTGGCGGATAGCGTTAACATCTCTGGTCAATCGAATATCGTGCAGTTTAAAGTACCCGATTGCAAGCTAAGCGAAGATTTAGGCAATTTATTCGATAATGAGAAATTTAGCGACGTCACGTTGGCTGTGGGTGGTCGTGAATTTCAGGCCCATAAAGCTATATTAGCTGGTAAGTTAAAAATGATAAGAAAAATTTTACATAATTTTATTCTCAATAATGCATTTTACTAAGAGTTTCGAGGGAATACCTCAGGTTAAATAGGGAGCACTGATATATTTCAATTAACATATGCAAAAATGCTTTACCTTGTTATCGCCCAAAATAAATGAATTTCGGAATATTATTTATTTTCCTTATATTTTATAAATAAATTTAGAAAAAATGTGGTTTAAAAAGCGTCGGACAGATCATAGATCATAAGAGTCGTTAGAGGTATTAAGTAATAAAGGTGCGCTGTAAAGTTAATAAGATAAGCAAATAATTGCAGGAATGTAGAAAAAGCTGGTGAAACTGGAGAATTAAATTAAATTAAGTACAATGTCGAGGTATTAAGAGCCTCGTGTATTTGGAGAGAAAGACGAATTCTGGAAATTATATCGTTTCTAGAGCCAGCCTGGTGGCCGATAGATAGGGAGCCATTACAAGAGCGGTCTGGCAAACCGCTTTCAAATGTTTTGTTAATTGGTGACAAAGACCGTTCGGAAAAAACATGGTCGATGGGTAGGGAGGCATTTCAAGAGCAGTTTGGGATACCACTCTCGAGTTTTCCGTTCCGTTAATTATTGATAAAGGACATTCGGAAAAAACATGGAAAACAGACAGGGAGGCATTACAAGAGCAGTCCCGCAAGCCGCTCTGAAATATTTTGTTAATTGTGGACACAGGATGTTCGGAAAAAACATGTCCGACAAATAAGAAAATTATAAGAAACATTTGTGCAAGGAGGGAGGAGTTCGTTCATAACAATGTTGGATAAAGCCTTGCTCATTCTGAGGCAAGTTCAGAAAACGCATTCAGCTTCGGTAAAGCCATTCGTGTAGTCTGGTCTGGATTTCAGAAACACCTCGGAATGATTTGTGATGGTCGAAATTAAGAGAGGCTGAGCAAGATAAAGCGGTTTAGATATACGCAACAGGTAATTTCATCCACGTGCTCAGTCCCAGAGAATGCTTTCGGGAATATTTTCCAAGAAAGGGAAAGCAATATATTGTCGCCTAAATTGCCTCTGAGTATCTTTACATAATTTGTATTTAGATATCATACGACAATAAATCTAGAAGAGACTTACTACTTTCACGCCCACCATCGTTACCGCCAAGAAATGATGACGTATTACATACCTTTTTCTGTTTGTATTGTTTATTCGAAGATCTTTTAAAATATCCCAGCTTTTGGTCAGAGTGGGGTTTCTGAGTTATTTTAATTTGGTCCAGCCAGCTATATGTCCACTAGTTTATCAGATACTGATTAAATATACAAGTAATCCATACACGAAAATCGATTATGTGCGTTTTCTAATAGTAAACAAAGACCGCAGTCAACTGAACAATATATGGATATATAACAAATCCCATTTTCCAATCATAAGGAATATGAGAAATTTGCTTTAACGTTAATAATAAATTTCTTTCCAACTCGCGTTCAAGTAGAAGAGTTTTAATAAAATTTTTATTTAATTTCTTTAAAAAAAAAAAAAAGCCCGCAGCGATGTCTTTGCTGCCATGTTTGAGCACGAAATGGAGGAACGTAAATTGAATCGTGTCGCCATAACCGATGTCGATCATGAAGTGTTAAAGGAAATGCTGCGATTTATTTATACGGGCAAAGCACCAAATTTGGATAAAATGGCCGATGATTTGCTAGCAGCAGCCGATAAGGTAAAATATATATAAAAAAGATTCTTTTTTTTTTTAGATTGTTTAAAAATTATTTTTCCTTTTTCGCTGCAGTATGCCTTGGAAAGACTAAAAGTGATGTGTGAAGAGGCGCTGTGCGTTAACCTTTCGGTAGAAACAGCCGCCGAAACTCTTATATTAGCTGATCTCCATAGTGCCGATCAACTGAAAGCACAAACCATAGATTTTATTAATACGTAAGTGTGGGAATTTAGAATATTTTTCTTTTTTTTTACACCCTACACCGGTTGTGGGGCAAGAGTATATTAGACTTGTGCGGTTATACACAACAGCCAGAAAGACTCGAAAGAGATCTAACCTTTATCATACCGATCGATTCAGAGGCACTTTCTCAATCGAATTGAAGCTTGTCTGTTCGACTGTCAGTCTTGTTTGCTTTTGCTCAACTCACAGGGTGAAATTTTTAATACAAGTTGACGAGTACTAGTACACCGACAACTTGTAGGCACGAAGACGAAGGTTTGGATCGGGTTACTTCGATCATTCCACATGTAAAGCTTTTATTTGAAAAGTATTTAGAGGAATAACTATAATATAAGGGCTTACAAAACGACCTGAGATAAAATTAGCTTTCATTTTCTGACTCAAAGTAAACTTGTCTATCCGTCTGTCCATCTTGTTGTCTTTTATTCCAAGTTACAAGTGGTAACTGTTGGCATACTCGGATGAATTGTTTTATACCCACGTGTCTTGGATCCAAAGGCGAATACTATGGAAAATGATTTGGATCGCACTACTCCTTCAATCACTCCCCGTGTAAAGCGTTAATTTGAACAGGATATCTGATGGGAAGTCGTGTCCCAATTTGGTATACGGCCGCGTTTTGTATCAATTTTAGCTTGTCTGTCCGTCTTGTTTCCATTTTATAGAAAACAATTTGACAATATTTTGATGAAATCCGGTACACTGACGCATTTTGACCCAAAGACGAACGGTATTGAAAATGATTTACAAAAGAGCCACTCACATCCATAGAAACTTTTGCGTTTTGAATTGATTCTTGAACATTGACGAGTCAAAAAATTGCATAAATGCAAGATTTTATTTTGATATCCGTCCGACGACCACTTCTCCTTCATAGAAAGATATTACAAGTAACTAGAAAAAAAAACTTTTTTTTTTTTTTTGAAAAGAGTCTCAATGAAAAAAAAAATTGGAAAATTACCTAAACAAAGATAGGACAGCTAATAGTATAGGTTGAAATTTAATTTTTGCCCTGATATACATTATTTTTTTAATAATTTTAATTTGTTTTATTTCTTTCTCATATTCAATATAGTCACGCCACCGATGTTATGGAAACACAAGGTTGGCAAAATATGATCACAACGCATTCACATTTAATTGCGGAGGCATTTCGGGCGCTCGCAACACAACAAATCCCACCGATTGGACCACCAAGGAAACGTGTAAAGATGAGCTGAAATTTTCGCTGTAGTCTCATAAGTAATCATAATTTAAACATAATTATAATGATAATTAAAAATAATAATAATAATAATAATAATAATAACTACAAAAGTAACTACAAGAAAAATAACAATAATAACAGTAGCAGCAACCACAACAACATCATCAACAACAACAACAACAAAAACAACAACTATAATAACACAAAAAACTACTACTATTACGATTACTATTATCATTATTATTACATATATAATTACTATTACTATAAAAATTATTTTAGAAACAATCACAACAACAACAACCATATAAACATTATAATTAATTTTATATTTAACAAAACAAACAATTTTAATTGTGATTATTATGATAATTACTGCAGTGTTGACAACAGTAATAGCAACAGCAACAGAAACAACAACAACAACAACAACAATAATAATAATAATAGTAAAAACAACAACTTTAAGAACTGTAGCAGACCTTTTTTTAGAGATGATAATGATAGTGATGATGGTGATTATTTGATTTTTAGCAAAAATGAGGACACCAATAATAAAAACAACAACAACAACAACAACAACAACAAAAACTATTACAAATACTATAACTATTACTACGATTACTACTACTACTACTACTACTACTCCTACTCGTACTATCCTTACAACAATATGTCAAATATTTATAACAAAATTAATGGCGATCGTTCGTGCATTAAGTATAAATTTAAATTTGCCGATAGCAAGAATTGCAATCAAAACCGAGCAACAATAGCAGCCACAGCAAAACCATATTACTTAATATGAGAGTAAAAAATGTTTCTCCTTACATTTTCATTATTATATTATAAAAAAAAGAAGAAAAAAAAAATCGAATATTATAGATTTTTTGTAGCTAAAGATTGCTTAAGCGTATAGTAATAAACGACTCGGCCTAAAAATATAAAAGTTATTTATGAAAAATTCAAAAATAATGTTATAATTAAGCGAAATGTTGAATAAAAGCAAACGTTGTTGTCTTGCTTTCGTATACTAATTCATTAAATAATAAAATAATTAATGAAAAATTTTTGCTTATGTATATATAGTTAAAGATGATCATCATTGCTGAGAATCTTAAAAATTGTGGTGTAGTAACAACAATATTTTTTCATAAGATTGTCATATAAATACATTTCGTAATGTGTGTCTCATAATTTAAAAAGACTGGAATTTATTGGAAAAAGAAAATTGAAATTTTTTACATTATTCTTTTAAATATTGTCAATGAATCGTTTATAAAATGTTTAAAAAGACAAACAACAAAAGGAAAACAAAAAAAAAAAAAAGTAAAGGAAAAATGCTGCTACGGCTCTATTAGAAAATTATATTTAATTAAAAATAATCTCATTTCATCGTATATACTTTTTAAATTAATGCAAAAGAAAATGAATTATAGGAGATTGTATGCTAATAATAAAAAAAATAATAAAATTTGCTTTTACTCCTTCAATTAGCAGGCTTTTACGAAGGACAAGAGCAAATTGAATGAAGTAAGAAAATAACAAAAGAAACAATTGTATAATATATTAAATAACATATAAGAAGAAGAAAAATGTTTGCAATCTTTTCTCTTTCTAACGAGTGCAGCCTGAAGTTGCAGGCGATTCGAAGACAACTCTCGTTATTCTTCGAATTACTAGCAACGTGGCGTGGTAATCGCAACTAAACGAAATCGAACGAGTCAAATAGCTGCGTTTATCCGTCAGATTTACCTACGAATGCAAGTGATGGTCACTCTGTCTGGAGAATAATTATAGATGTGAATCGGCTCGCGCTTGTTATATAGTGCCCTTTCACTTTGGCATAGCCCATACTTGCAATTGTTGACCTCCTTTTTTGTCTTTTCTACGCACTGTTATATTGCTATAAAGAATAAAGACGTAACGAAAGTGCTTGACACAAGCTTACACTTTACAATAAATGAGTATCAACATACAATGACAAGAGAATGTCTTCTGCTTTCGTCATCATTATTAAAAGAAACACAAGCAAGATTTACGAAATTTATAAGCGAAGATACGCGCAGTAGTGCGATAATAAGCAAAGTAGAACTTTTAAATGTTTGCATGGATTATGTGAAGAAAGGTTTACCTAAATATGAAGAGATAAACCAATCTAATGGAAGTAAATCATATAGTTTAAAAGAAAGATATGATGGAAAGAAAGCTTATACAAGAAACAATATAAAAGTAATGCAAATATTGAGTACTTCAGGCAATACTTTTTCTACGGGGTCATCTCAGGAAAGCTGAGAGCCAAGCATAATAATGTGAATAGCTACCAAAATTTTAAATAACCTCCTGGTGCGCTGAAAAAGTAAAAAAAAAGGAACTGGAGCATAATAAAATTACCGATTAAAACTTGTGGACCCCTTGAGGTTTTCCTTATTTCTTGATCTACGAGAGAAAGCAAGCATAGTAAAGATCAAGATTGGAGCTTGCATTATCCGTTTAAATCTTGAGAAGAAAATACCAAATAAAACCATATCTGCAAAGAGATTCTAAAGAAGATATTCTCTGTCTTTCTCTCTGCCTCTCGTAGCAACTTGGGAAGGAAAAGAAACTGAGTAAGTAAGGATTTGCAGCATTTGCACAACAAGAAAAATGGAAGAGGAATCAAGAGGGAATTTGTTGCTAAAATAACAAACAAATCGTAAACTGAAACTTTAATCAATTGCAAGCAATATGGAAAGAAGATTTTTCTTCTTACCAGTTCTTCATCAGTTAAGGAAAAGAAAACATACAACGGAACGGAAGTAGTAAACAGACGTTGATGTAAGCTGAACTTTGAGCACTTGTACGGAATGCGAAACACTCTTTTCTTGTTGTAGTTGTTAGCAATGTTCTTCGGAAAGGAAACAAAAATAAGCATAACCGAAGAATAGAATAAAGCTCTTTGAATCCTTTAACATTTTGCAACTAAGGCTTACGGTTTGAGGTAAACCTTTGTGACACCTCCATGCAACATGAAGAAGTGGAAGGCTCGGTCGAGTCATTTACATTTTGGAAATAAAGAATACGATCTGAGAAAAATCTTTAAATACCATGATGTAAAGTCAAGAAGCGGCCCATTCTTTCCATCATCACAAGCAAGCGTAATAGAAGGATAGAATAGAACTCTTTGGAGCATTTTGCAAGTAAAGCTTATGATCTAAGGTAAACAACCTTTGAATACCATGTAAATTGAAGAAGCGGCCCATTCTTACCATCATCATCACAAAAAAGTTTCGTCGAAGGATAGAATAATATCCCTAGGAGCAAGAGTAACGAATACGATCTGAGATAAACCTTTGAACACCATCATGTAATGTGAAGAAAAGAAGTGGTCCATTCTTTCCATCAGCAGTTTATGGTGTAAGAAGAAAAACTAAGTACAAAGGAAGGCTTATAGCAATCACTTGAACACTAGAATGCAATATGCTATACAAGATAAACAAACACCAAGAAAGGCTTGTAACAATCATTTGAACCCTAGCTTGCAATATGCTCGTTCCACTATTAGTAACGCAATTTAAAATTGGAGATTAGGTTTATAAAAGCGTTAAGCAAAAATATGCATTAATTAAGGAGAAAGGGAACTTGATAAGCAAACACAATTAATGGAAGTAAACGTAATTGCATCGAGAGAACGCATACACTTTTTTATAATTCATTCTCTTTCAATTTTTTTAATTGCATCTGATTAGTGTGTAATTGATGCCTTTTCAAAAATTTATTCTCATATTGTTTTACATCTTTTTTTGGTTTTCTTATTCTACATAAAAAGTGATCATAAAATTAATATTTGCTACGGTTTTGTTTACTTTTCTAATCATATATTTTATCTTCATACCCAATCACACACTACTCTATCCAAACCTACCGCGACGACTATTACAGCCACCACCATAACGGAACAATAGGTTAGCACTGTAAAACACTCTTTAATATATATGTAAATAGTATCGTATGAAATTCTTAAGATATATCAATAACTACCAGCAATAATGCCAACTATTCAAAAAAAAAAAGGAAAAAAAAAAAAGAAAAAAAAAAAAAAAAAAAAAAAATAATCAAAGCAAAGTTATAATGAGTTTCAAAAAGTTTGCTGTTTATAGTTACAAAACAAAAATCAGAGAAATTTTTTTAGCTCATCTTTATGAGTTGGGTTGAAACTACACAGAGCCTGAAAGAGAGGTAGAGAATTGATTTTGTTTACCCTTTATTTACTAAGAATAATAATTCAATTTCATTCACCAAATAGCGAACAAAGTGCTTTTGTGCAGAGCAAGGAAAAAAAAAAAGAAAGTACGATGTATGTGTATTCGGAAAATTATCTTTGATTTATTCTCTCATGAGATCCAAAATCGATGCATTTAAAAGATGACAACGCCGATCCTCTTGAACATCCTCTTGAAGATTATCTTTGAGATCGATGCACTTAAAAGATGGCCACGCCGATCCCCTTTTCTCATTTCTTCGTATCGTGTGTTAAATGTCTTGTATTGCGTACGATTTAAGTGATCGTTAATGATTCTGTTTTCATTTCCGATTTCTTCCATCGCAATGTAAAGGTGCAGTGAGTTCAGCTGATTTTGCGACTAATTCGCATAAACTCGATTAAAAGCAGCTTAACTAGCGTGAGAAGCGAAATTTTTCAAGTGATAAGCAAATCTAATATCTGATCATATCTGATTAGAAAAATCATTTGTCTGTCCCAGCACTTTTACTCGCTCGCGTCATTTCAGCTAAGATGGCTTATAATTTTGTTACGGAAATTTTTATAGTAAATGATATAAAATCTTCTTCTTTCTCCGCCTTTCTAGCTGGCTCTATAGGCAAACCCAGATATTATTGTTTTTTCTTGCAATTTTATATACATCTTTTGTTTTAATCGCTATGCAAAAACTAGAAAAATGTTGTATCATTTCTTTTAATAAGTAAATTCACATTTGGCGAAAAATTCATTTATTTTGTTGGTTAAATATTATAAAGGAAAAAAGAAGGAAGAAAATGTTTTTTTAGTTAAAAAAAGAAAAAAAAAAATTGAAAATCAAATTAAAATAACGTTAAATGCAGTTGTCAC